TCCTATGTATTATACATGGATATCATATCCCCCCTTATTTATTATACATGGAGATCCATATCCCCCTCCTTATGTATTATACATGAGATCATATCCCCCCTTATGTATTATACAATGGAGATCATATCCCTCTTATGTATATATACATGGAGATCATAATCCCCCCTTATGTATTATACAATGGAGATCATATCCCCCCTTATGTATTATACATGGAGATCATATCCCCCTTATGTATTCTATACATGGTGATCATATCCCCCCTTATGTATTATACATGGAGATCAATATCCCCCCTTATGTATTATACATGGAGATCATACCCCCCCCTTATGTATTATACATGGAGATCATACCCCCCCTTATGTATTATACATGGAGATCATATCCCCCTTATGTTATTATACATGGAGATCAATCCCCCTTATGTATTATACATGGAGAATCATATCCCCCCCCTTATGTAAAATGTACATGGAGATCATATCCCCCCTTATGTATTGTACATGGAGATCATATCCCCCCTTATGTATTATACATGGAGATCATATCCCCCTTATGTATTATACATGGAGATCATATCCCCCCTTATGTATTATACATGAGATCATATCCCCCTTATATATTAATACATGGAGATCATATCCCCCCTTATATATTTATACATGGAGATCACATCCCCCCTTATGTATTATACATGGAGATCATATCCCCCCTTATGTATTATACATATGGAGATCACATCCCCCCTTATGATTATAACATGGAGATCACATCCCCCCTTATGTATTATACATGGAGATCATATCCCCCCTTATGTATTATACATGGAGATCACATCCCCCCTTATGTATTATACATGGAGATCACATCCCCCCTTATGTATTATACAGGGAGATCATATCCCCCCTTATGTATTATACATGGAGATCATATCCCCCCTTATGTATTATACATGGAGATCATATCCCCCTTATGTATTATACATGGAGATCACACCCCCCCCCCCCCCCCCCTTATGTATTATACATGGAGATCATATCCCCCTTATGTATTTTTACATGAGATCATATCCCCCCCTTATGTATTATACATGGAGATCATATCCCCCCTTATGTATTATACATGGAGATCATATCCCCCCTTATGTATTATACATGGAGATCATATCCCCCCCTTATGTATTATACATGGAGATCATATCCCCCTTATGTATTATACATGGAGATCATATCCCCCCTTATGTATTATACATGGAGATCATATCCCCCCTTATGTATTATACATGGAGATCATATCCCCCTTAATGTATTATACATAGAGATCATATCCCCCCTTATGTATTATACATAGAGATCATATCCCCCCTTATGTATTATACATGGAGATCATATCCCCCCTTATGTATTATACATGGAGATCATATCCCCCCTTATGTATTATACATGGAGATCATATCCCCCCCTTATGTATTATACATGGAGATCATATCCCCCCTTATGTATTATACATGGAGATCCACATATCCCCCCCCTTATGTATTATACATGGAGATAATATCCCCCTTATGTATTATACATGGAGATCATATCCCCCCTTATGTATTATACATGAGAGATCATATCCCCCCTTATGTATTATACATGGAGATCATATCCCCCCTTATGTATTATACATGGAGATCATATCCCCCTTATGTACTATACATGGAGAACATATCCCCCCTTATGTATTATACATGGAGATCATATCCCCCCTTATGTATTATACATGGAGATCATATCCCCCCTTATGTATTATACAAGGAGATCATATCCCCCCTTATGTATTATACACGGAGATCATATCCCCCCTTATGTATTATACATGGAGATCATATCCCCCCTTATGTATTATACACGGAGATCATATCCCCCCTTATGTATTATACATGGAGATCATATCCCCCCTATGTATTATACACGGAGATCATATCCCCCCTTATGTATTATGCACGGAGATCATATCCCCCCTTATGTATTATGCATGGAGATCATATCCCCCCCTTATGTATTATACATGGAGATCATATCCCCCTTATGTATTATACATGGAGATCATATCCCCCCCCTTATGTATTATACATGGAGATCATATCCCCCCTTATGTATTATACATGGAGATCATATCCCCCCCCCTTATGTATTATACATGGAGATCATATCCCCCCTTATGTACTATATACATGGAGATCATATCCCCCTTATGTATTATACATGGAGATCATATCCCCCCTTATGTATTATACATGGAGATCATATCCCCCCCTTATGTATTATACATGGAGATCATATCCCCCCTTATGTATTATACACGGAGATCATATCCCCCCTTATGTATTATACACGGAGATCATATCCCCCCCCTTATGTATTATACATGGAGATCATATCCCCCCTTATGTATTATACACGGAGATCATATCCCCCCCTTATGTATTATACAACGGAGATCATATCCCCCCCCTTATGTATTATACACGGAGATCATATCCCCCCCTTATGTATTATACATGGAGATCATATCCCCCCTTATGTATTATACATGGAGATCATATCCCCCCCTTATGTATTATGCTATGGTGATCATATCCCCCCTTATGTATTATACACGGAGATCATATCCCCCCCTATGTATTATACACGGAGATCATATCCCCCCTTATGTATTATGCACGGAGATCATATCCCCCCTTATGTATTATACACGGAGATCATATCCCCCTTATGTATTATACACGGAGTATCATATCCCCCTTATGTGTTATACACGGAGATCATATCCCCCTTATGTATTATACATGGAGATCATATCCCCCTTATGTATTATACACGGAGATCATATCCCCCCTTATGTGTTTTATACATGGAGATCATATCCCCCCTTATGTGTTATACATGGAGATCATATCCCCCCCTTATGTATTATGCACGGAGATCATATCCCCCCCCTTATGTATTATATACACGGAGATCAATATCCCCCCTTATGTATTATACACGGAGATCATATCCCCCCTTATGTATTATACACGGAGATCATACCCCCCCTTATGTATTATACACGGAGATCATATCCCCCCTTATGTATTATACATGGAGATCATATCCCCCCTTATGTATTATACATGGAGATCATATCCCCCCTTATGTATTATACATGATGATCATATCCCCCCTTATGTATTAATACGGAGATCACATCCCCCCTTATGTATTATACATGGAGATCACATCCCCCCTTATGTATTATACGTGGAGATCACATCCCCCCTTATGTATTATACGTGGAGATCACATCCCCCCTTATGTATTATACGTGGAGATCACATCCCCCTTATGTATTATACACATGGAGATCATATCCCCCCTTAATGTATTATACGTGGAGATCATATCCCCCTTATGTATTATACGAGGAGATCATATCCCCCCCTTATGTATTATACGTGGAGATCATATCCCCCCCTTATGTATTATACATGGAGATCATATCCCCCACTTAAAAAATTATACATGTCGATCATATCCCCCCTTATGTATTTATACATGGAGATCATATCCCCCCTTATGTATTATACATGGAGATCATATCCACCCTTATGTATTATACATGGAGATCATATCCCCCCCCCCTTATGTATTATACATGGAGATCATATCCCCCTTATGTATTATACATGGAGATCATACCCCCCCTTATGTATTATACATGGAGATCATACCCCCCTTAAGTATTATACATGGAGATCATAATCCCCCTTATGTATTATACATGGAGATCATATCCCCCCTTATGTATTATACATGGAGATCATATCCCCCTTATGTATTATACATGGAGATCATATCCCCCCTTATGTAATTATACATGGAGATCATATCCCCCCTTATGTATGATACATGGAGATCATATCCCCCCTTAATGTATTATACATGGAGATCATATCCCCCCTTATAAATTATACATGGAGATCATATCCCCCCTTATGTATATTAATACATGGAGATCATATCCCCCCTTATGTACATTATACATGGAAGATCATAATCCCCCACCGCCTTAATCCTCTAATCAGTAGAGAATACATTCAGTTCCTCTAATCTCTCCTCATAGCTGATCTCCTCCATGCCTTGTATCAGTTTGGTTGCCCTTCTCTGTACTTTTCTCCAGTTCCCCAATGTTCCTTTTTTAATTGGAGCCCAAAACTTAACTGCATATCCCAGATGAGGTCTTACTAATTTGTACTCGGGGGGGGGGGGGAGATGATATCTCTCTTGGAGTCTTTTAATACAAGAGAGGATTTTGCTCATTTTTGAAAACCGCAGCTATTTGGCCACCGCCTTTCTACGCACATGAACTGTAATGGCCCCCCAGTCTTAGTCCGTAGGGTTCAATATTGAGTTGGCCCCGCCCTTTGCAGCTATAACAGCTTCAACTCTTCTGGGAAGGCCGTCCACAAGGTTTAGGAGGGTGTCTATGGAAGGTTGGACCATTCTTCCAGAAGCACATTTGTCAGGTCAGGTACTGATGTCGGGGAGGAGGCCTGGCTCGCAGTCTCCGCTCTAATTCATCCCAAAGGTGTTTCTATGGGGTTGAGGTCAGACTCTACAAAGTTGGGAGCATGAAATTGTCCAAAATGTCTTGGTATGCTAATGCCTTAAGAGTTCCCTTCACTGGAACTAGGGGGCCAAGCCCAACCCCTGAAATACAACCCCACACCATAATCCCCCCTCCACCAAACTTTACACTTGGCACAATGCAGTCAGACAAGTACCGTTATCCTGACAACCACCAAACCCAGACACGCCCATCGGATTGCCAGACAGAGAAGCGTGATTGGTCACTCCAGAGAACACGTCTTCACTGCTCTAGAGTCCAGTGGCGGCGTGCTTTACACCACGGCATCCCGACGCTTTGCATTGCACTTGGTGATGGGAAGGCTTGGATGCAGCTGCTCGGCCATGGAAACCCATTCCATGAAGCTCTCTACGCACTGTTGTTGGGCTCATCTGAAGGCCACACCAAGTTTGGAGGTCTTTAGCTATTGACTCTGCAGACAGTTGGTGACTTCTGCGCACTGTGCGCTTCAGCATGCGCTGACCCCCCGCCCTGTCATGTGACGTGGCCTACCACTTGATGTGGTGGCTGTTGTTCCCAGTGGCTTCCACTTTGTTATAATCCCACTAACAGTTGAGCGTGGAATTTTTAGTAGTCAGGAAATGTCACGGATGGACTTATTGTCCAGGTGGCCACCTATCACGGGACCACGCTTGGAGTCACTGAGCTCCTGAGAGCGACCCATTCTTTCACCAATGTTTGTAGAAGCCGTCTGCATGCCTAGGGGCTTGATTGTATACACCTGTGGCCATGGAGGGGATTGTAGCACCTTAATCACATGATATGAAGGGGATTGGAACACCTGAATCACATGATTGGGAGGGGATTGGAACACCTGAATCACATGATATGGAGGAGATTGGAACACCCTGAATCACATGATTTGGAGGGGATTGGAACACTTGAATCACATGATTTGGAGGGGATTGGAATACCTGAATCACATGATTGGGAGGGGATTGGAACACCTGAATCACATGATATGGAGGGGATTGGAACACCTGAATCACATGATTTGGAGGGGATTGGAACACCTGAATCACATGATATGGAGAGGATTGGAACACCTGAATCACGTTTTGGAGGGATTGGAACACCTGAATCACATGCTTTGGAGGGGATAGGAATACCTGAATCACAAGATTTGGAGGTGATTGGAATACCTGAATCACACGATTTGGAGGGGATTGGAACACCTGAATCACACGATTTGGAGGGGATTGAACACCTGAATCACACGATTGGGAGGGGATTGGAACACCTGAATCCCACGATTGGGAGGGGATTGGAACACCTGAATCACACGATTGGGAGGGGGATTGAACACCTGATACTACGAATAGGGACACGATTGGGAGGGGATTGGAACACCTGAATCACACGATTGGGAGGGGATTGGAACACCTGAATCACACGATTGGGAGGGGATTGGAACACCTGAATCACACGATTGGAGGGGATTGGAACACCTGAATCACACGATTGGGAGGGGATTGGAACACCTGAATCACACGATTGGGAGGGGATTGGAAACACCTGAATCACATGACAGGGGATTGGAACACCTGAATCATTGATTGGAGGGGATTGGAACACCTGAATCACAATCACGATTGGGAGGGGATTGGAACACCTGAATCACACGATTGGAGGGGATTGGAACACCTGAATCACACGATTGGGAGGGGATTGGAACACCTGAATCACACGACTGGGAGGGGATTGGAACACCTGAATCACACGATTGGGAGGGGATTGGAACACCTGAATCACATGATTGGGAGGGCTGACCCAATACTTTTGGCAATATGGTGTATTTGTGTCTAATTCAGGCAAGAGTTTCTGTCAATGTTGGGAATGTTGCTGACATTATTATTATTATTATACAGGATTTATATGGTGTCAGCAGTTATCTCAGCGCTTTACAAAATGAAGGCAGACATCACAGTTACAATACAATTTGGTACAAGAGGAAACAGAGGGTCCTGATCCTCAGAGCTTACAATCTAGGAGATGTTTAGGAAATTCAGGTAATTCCTACTACTGCCACTCCTAAGAATCTACCATATGTACGGGGGGGGGGGGGGGGGGGGTATGCCAGCACTCTGAGTGGCCAGGGCCTGTGCCGGGAAGCTGTTATGTATGTGACCGATATCCCTGGTTGCATTTACCTGTCATCCAGGAGATCCCCCTCCCCCCTCAAAAACGAAATGAAATTACATGGCAATGGCGTTATTTGGGAAATAACTTCTAAAGAGAGTAGCGAGCGCTCGGAGATCGGAGCAGCTAGCACTAGATATGGAGCGACAAACCCAATATGCGACATAAACCAAAATCGTGCAGCGCTTAAAATGTATACAACAAAATATACATGTCGCAGTTACCCTAAAAATATCTACACATTGCGTAAAATATCCATAAACACAAAAGTGGAAAAAATAAATATACATATAAATAAACAATTTGGCAGTGCTCATAAAGTGCCAGTGATTATATGTAATAAAATATTTAGTTTGTGTCGCGCTCCACTGAATAAAAAATCTGTGAACAAATAATGCTAATATAGCCTCAATACCTAATATTTGTGACCATATATTATGCGATCTTTATGTGACAACGAAAAAATATATATAGTGAAAAAATATATATCAAAAATATGCTACTACTGATATATTATTTTTTAGTGAATAATAAATTAAAAATAATAAATAAATTAATGTGTCCCAAAATTATAAAAAAAAATCCAGAAAAAAAATAAATAAAAAAATATCTACACATTGCGTAAAATATCCATAAACACAAAAGTGAATAAATAAATACATATAAATAAGCAATTTGGCAGTGCTCATAAATATATATATATATAGTGAAAAAGTATATATTAAAAAATATACTAGTAGTGCAATATTATTATTTTAGTGAATAATAAATAAAAAAAATAATAACTGAATGTGTCCCAAAATTATTTAAAAAAATCCAGAAAAAAAAAAACTAAAAAAAAAAAAAAAAACTAAATAAAAAAAAGTCCAGAGAAATAAAATATCCAATGTGGTGTCCACTTCGTTATTGTGAACAATCTGGCGCACTTTTCTCATATATCTGCTCACCTTATATTTAGCCCAACTTTAGATGTCGGCCGGGAGATCCCCCCCTCCCCCCTCAAAAAATGAAATGAAATTACATAGCAATGGCGTTATTTGGGAAATAATTCTAAAGAGAGTAGGGAGCGCTCGGAGATCGGAGCAGCTAGCACTAGATATGGAGCGACAAACCCAATATGCGACATAAACCAAAATCGTGCAGCGCTTAAAAATTTATACAACAAAATATACATGTCGCAGTTACCTTAAAAATATCTACACATTGCGTAAAAATATCCATAAATACAAAAGTGAATAAATAAATAAATACATATAAATAATTTGGCAGTGTTCATAAATAATATATATATAGTGAAAACATATATATATAAAAAAATATACTAGTGCAATATTTATTATTTTAGTGAATAATAAATAAAAAAAATAAATAACTGAATGTGTCCCAAAATCATTTAAAAAATCCAGAAAAAAAAAAAATAAATTAAACAAAAAATTAAATAAAAAAAATATAAATAATTTGGCAGTGCTCATAGAAATAAAATATCCAATGTAGTGTCCACTTATTATTGTGAAAAATATCTGGTGTGCTTTTCTATATATCTGCTCACCTTATATTTAGCCCAACTTTAGATGTCGGTTGGGAATCCCCCCTATAGCAAAATATACATGTCGCAGTTACCCTAAAAATATCTACACATTGCATAAAGTATCCATAAACACAAAAGTGAAAAAAAAAATACATATAAATAAACAATTTGGCAGTGCTTATAAAGTGCCAGTGATTATATGTAATAAAATATTTAGTTTGTGTCGCGCTCCACTGAATAAAAAATCTGTGAACAAATAATGCTAATATAGCCTCAATACCTAATATTTGTGACCATATATTATGCGATCTTTATGTGACAACGAAAAATATATATAGTGAAAAAATATATATCAAAAATATGCTACTGCAATATTATTATTTTAGTGAATAATAAATAAAAAATATTAAATAAATGAATGTGTCCCAAAATTATAAAAAAAATCCAGAAAAAAAAATAAATAAAAAAATATCTACACATTGCATAAAATATCCATAAACACAAAAAAGTGAATAAATAAATACATATAAATAAACAATTTGGCAGTGCTCGTAAATTTATATATATAGTATTGAAAAAGTATATATTAAAAATATATACTAGTGCAATATTATTATTTTAGTGAATAATAAATAAAAATAATAAATAAATGAATGTGTCCCAAAATTATTTTAAAAATTCCAGAAAAAAAACTTAAAAAAAAAAAAAAAAACTAAATAAAAAAAAAGTCTAGAGAAATAAAATATCCAATGTACTGTCCACTTCGTTATTGTGAACAATCTGGTGCACTTTTCTCATATTTAGCCCAACTTTAGATTAGGCTAAAATAACTGATTGTCCTAAATTGGACAAATGAGGAAATTTCCAATGATCGTGTAATTCCAGGGATACTGATACACAAGATGCAACACTTTTATTTTCCCTCAGGGGGTCTCTCAGGCACCCCGATCCCTGTCTTTGATCAGGATGGATGGATTTCTCCCTCTGTCCTCCAGGGGTCCTATATATCCTTTTATTTCCTTTCTTTATTCCTCCATATTTGGGTGCAATGAAAGAAAGAAGAACATAGTAACCACCATGCACTCACCAGAAGGCTGATGATCAGTCACCCAATCATAAGGAACCCCCATAGATCGCTCCACAGCTGGAAACATAAACCGGAACAAAATCTCTCACCGCACAGAGCCCAAGGGATAATATATAGGCTCCACCCGACGCGTTTCGTACACACGTATAGGCGTATCCCTGAGGACGTGCGTGCACGGAATCAATTGGATTTTTAGCACTGACACTTTCGGTGCTGCATCCCGGCAGAATTCTAAAGAGTGTCTAAGCCTTCTTTCATGAATTCGGCCAATATTTTCTTCTGCAATTACACGCCTGCCTGTTCGCACTTTCAATATTTCAGTTCCACTTTTAAAAGGACCATTAATTCTGAAGAATAGCGACTTTATTTGAGATGTTATAACCTTTTAAAATCCCGTTTCTTAATCCGGACCTTTTACCCAGAGCAGTTACACAATTAATGTTCTGAGAAGAACATACATTCCACATTAATGATTCTGCTACAATAATTTGCACGTGCCGTAAATTTCCTCCATCATTGTTCCCACCGAGGGGGTACTATTCTTCCCACTGACACCACCCATGGGGCACTATTCCTTCCATTAATACCAATGATGGGGCACTATTCTTCCCTCCACTGACACCACCCATGGGGCACTACCCCTCCCATTAATACCAATGATGGGACACTATTCCTCCCACTGACACCAATGATGGGGCACTATTCCTCCCACTGATACCAATGATGAGGCACTATTCCTCCCAATGACACCAATGATGGGGCACTATTCCTCCCACTGACACCAATGATGGGGCACTATTCCTCCCACTGACACCAATGATGGGGGGCACTATTCCTTCCACTGACATCAATGATGGGGCACTATTCCTCCCACTGACACCAATGATTGGGCACTATTCCTCCCACTGACACCAATGATGGGGCACTATTCCTCCCACTGATACCAATGATGGGGCACTATTCCTCCCACTGACACCAATGATGGGGCACTATTCCTCCCACTGACACCAATGATGGGGCACTATTCCTCCCACTGACACCAATGATTGGGCACTATTCTTCCCACTGACACCAATGATTGGGCACTATTCCTCCCAGTGACACCAATGATGGGACACTATTCCTCCCACTGATACCAATAATGGGGCACTATTCCTCCCACTGATACCAATGATGGGACACTATTCCTCCCACTGACACCAATGATGGGGCACTATTCCTCCCACTGACACCAATGATGGGGCACTATTCCTCCCATTAATACCAATGATGGGACACTATTCCTCCCACTGACACCAATGATGGGGCACTATTCCTCCCACTGATACCAATGATGGGGCACTATTCCTCCCACTGACACCAATGATGGGGCACTATTCCTCCCACTGATACCAATGATGGGGCACTATTCCTCCCACTGACACCAATGATGGGGCACTATTCCTCCCACTGACACCAATGATGGGGCACTATTCCTCCCACTGACACCAATGATTGGGCACTATTCTTCCCACTGACACCAATGATTGGGCACTATTCCTCCCACTGATACCAATGATGAGACATTATTCCTTCTACTGACACCAATGATTGGGCACTATTCCTCCCACTGACACCAATGATGGGGCACTATTCCTCCCACTGACACCAATGATGGGGCACTATTCCTCCCACTGACACCAATGATGGGGCACTATTCCTTCTACTGACACCAATGATGGGGGCACTAT